CGAGTGGTTCCGTGCCGTTTCCACTCTGTGGACATGTGGTGAGATGCTGCCCTGTACAGGAAGCAAGAGGCCCGATGGTCTAATGCCATGAAATGTGTTTGGCGGAGTTGCCTCGCTTAAGGATGCGAGAAACTTTAGATCGTCGGTTCGAATCCCGATTCGCTGTGATTATAATTCTGGGTTTGTCAGGGCCATTCCCGTGTTCGTGGGTCTTAGCAAAGTTGTAAACATCTAAGATGTTCATCACTTTCCTCAAGCAGGGGTGGTGGGGTAGCCTAGTGGTTAAAGCGTTCGCTCGTCACGCCGAAGGCCAGGGTTCGATCCCCACATGAGTACAGGAGCTGTGGGGTAGCCTAGTGGTTAAAGCGTTCGCTCGTCACGCCGAAGACACGAGTTCGATTCCCACATGGGTACAATGTGTGAAGCCCATTTCCGGTGTCCCCCGCCGTTGTGTTGCTTTAACGTTGCTAATAGTGGCGTAAAACCATACTCACTCACATGGGTACAATACATTACATGTGTTAAATACATTTTGGATTCCCTCGCCATATAGGTTGAATGTTGCTGATTCCGGCGTAAAACTCACTCACTCATTCACTCACTCACTCACTCAGACTATGTTTTTGATTGCAAGTATGCCGTCGAGGGTCTTTCATTTAAAAGTTGTTGGTACTCATGAGACGACTATCCGAGGTTATAATACGGGTGTACTGGCGAGATGTCATGTTATCAGGGGCGGTGGGGCCAGGCCTCCCACCGTCATATTGTTGGAATATTGCTACAAGCGGCGTAAAACTAAACTGACTGTTCTCATTTCAATGGAATGGTGGGACAGCACTGGTCATCAAGACCCCGAGAAATTGCGTCATTTATCACAACGGCAGCTGGACATGGAACGTCCTTGGTGAACATAAATATGATTAAGGATAGGGCATCACTTATATATTTTGTGTTTCTCATCGCCCGACCTTTTAATTTAATTGTCCATACTTGTACTGACCTCGACCATAGACGCCAGCCAGGGAATGCAGTATGTTTGTAATCTGTGGTATTTCAACTGGGTTGTACTAAAGAAGATGAGATCTTGAGAGGCGATACATGACACGCAGAATTACAAAGTACCAATTCTTCACAGAATCACAATATGACAATAACCATTCATATTAAAATACTATTTCTACATGCCATGGGGTTGTCTGTATGCACGTATATGGACTTGTACACTGTATACGTGGGTGTTATCTTCTAATTAATTCCTTGTCCTACTTACCCAGCTTTACCTAAATGTACTTTGGAAACTGGATACCAAGGTCACTATAGAGCCTATGCACTGAGAAGATGGGGGGTAGTTACATGTCTCACCACATGTCGGTCGAGTGGGGAAATACGGAACCACACACTGTAGGACGATGACACCCCTGTGTTTGAAGTTTTTATCCTCCTATCACGTACAAATACTATATGACAAAGACGAGGTTGATAACAGCATCAAATGCCGCTCACGATGGTGTAGCCTAGTGGTTAAGCGTTCGCTTTGATTCCCCACATGTGTAAATGTGTATGATGCTCATTTGTTGACCCGAGTTCGATTCCCAGCATGGGTACAATGTGTGAAGCCCATTTCTGGTGTCCCCCGCCATGATGTTGCTGGAATATTGCTAAAAGCGGCGTAAAACTCACTCACTCAAATGCACTCCTGTGCACTCTTTCTTCTATTGGGGCGGTGGGGCAGCCTAGTGGTTAAAGCGTTGGCTCGTCACGCCGAAGACCCGGGTTCGAACCCCTACTTGGGTACAATGTGTGAAGCCCATTTCTGGTGTCCCCCGCCATGATGTTGCTGGAATGTTGCTAAAAGCGGCGTAAAACTCACTCACTCACTCAAATGCACTCCTGTGCACTCTTTCTGCTATTGAAGTATCACACTTTCAGGTCACCTCGAACCAAGAATATTTTTTTAAACTTCTTTGAAATAATTCCTGGTTATATTGTACATTGCTAGGATAAAAAGGCCGGGTTTAGTTACAACGTGGTATCGAATGGATAATGTTTGCATCCTGAGGGTGATATATAGCATGTTTTCAGTCGTTGTAAATGTGGAGGATCCTTCGATTACAGCTGCATTATTTTAGGACGGAAATCCCGTAGGTAGTAAAACCTCTTCACCGGGAGCAAACTCTCTGCCGGAATCTCAACGGAGAGACATGTATATGTGTTCTGTTCGAGGCAACCAAACGTGTGAAACAAGGGACCCATCTTGTCACGGAATTCCCCCAGGTAGTCAAGCGCGGGCCATTCTGTCCCTACAGTTTCTAAAGGGACACACGCTTCCGGCACTGATCACTTATTCTGTCAGAATCCAACCACGAGTGTAGACCTGGGGAGAGGAAGATCTATTCTTTGCTGGAATCACCACAGAACACAAACCTGGGAGGTTGTTTCCCAATTGAGCTCCACCATAATTTATTACCGTGATGACAGAAAATTTCCAGTGAGTGAGGTTGGTTTCACGGCGCTTTTAGCAATATTCCAGCAATATCACGACGGGGGACACCAGAAATGGGCTTCACACATTGTACCCATGTGGGGAATCGAACCCTGGTCTTCGGCTTGACGAGCGAACGCTTTAACCACAAGGCTACCCCACCGCCCCTAATATTTCCAGATATGTACAGGGAATAATTTAACATTGTGTATTGAAGTATGGCGAACTGGGCATATGTTGGTATTTAAGTCTTCATGGAGGTGGTGGTGAAATTGGGTTTAACGTCGTGCTTGAGAATATTTCGCTCATATGACGACGTGCATGCGTGTGTATGTGTATGTGCGGCTGCTTGTACTAGCCCAGACTGAAGCTGGTTTTATAGTGCTAGCCCACTGAGATACCATGCCATAGTGAAGCATAAATATCCCACTCAGACACATTATACTGACTCCGAGCCGACCAGTCCTTGTTGTACCCATTAATGCCGAGCGCCAGGCAGGGACCAACAAGTACCATATTTTAACGTCTTTTGGTATGACGCGGTCGGGGATCGAACCCGCGACCTTCCGCACTCCGGGCGGACGCTCTAACCACTACACCACGGAGGCGGTTAAGTCTTCATGGAAGGCGACAAGACGATAATGGATATTGGAACATACAACCATAAAACATTAATTACCAAGAGATAATGTTATAGTTGTGTTTCTGTTATCACTGACGTACTTCCTGAAATCATATAATGGTCCTGGTATTTCACACAAGTGTCGGTATAACAGCCATAATTGAGTAGATTATTGTCTATACAGTGTGAGACTGTAACTGCTGGGTGACTCTCAGCTATCCAGCAATGTGCCAAGTCTCCGCTGTTCGTGGGACCCGTCTCCCCAAGCGTCTCTCCGACTACCCACGTGTAAATGTGTTGGAAGTACTGTTATATGGATGTAGAACTAAGGTTACTGGGAGAGTCCCGTTAGTTGTAACACAATAACTCACCACAAAGATCACATATCACCAATCACTTTTGAGTGACGTTTCTAGGTCACATGCACATGTCTTTATCAGAAACCAACGTCAGGGACCAGTGTAGCCTGTTAGGGCCATGAAATTCCAGTGGATGTATCTAAAAACATTCATATCTCATATTAATATAATATAATATAATATAATGCATTGGAAAAAAGTATTTTATGAACATTATCTCTATATACTGAATATGTTATTTATCATTTTATTTGTCACGGTTACCATTACAGCGAAATGTTCTATATTCTCATTAAAGTGTTTTCTGGCACAATATTTAACACTGTCAGTGAAATCCCGTTAGTTTGGAAAAGCGGCGTATATCTATATTCACTCACTCACTCCATAGTTTGGAATTCGCACTCCGGAAACCTCGAATTCAGCACAATATATGCTTACGTTCGATTTCAAAACTCGTGACGAAATCGTGGTGGCTAATGTTAACGCATGTCAGCCGCTTGACGTCAAACTTCGGATAACCTCAACAGTCCGTACGTATAGAATCCCAGGATTGTGGTACCGTGGTACAACCTCGAAATGACGTCATAGTCATAGGTAATTCAATCGTGGATAAAACTGTTAAAAGAATATAATTAACTGGGTGTAATAATAATATAATAATATAATATATATAATAATAATATATATATATATATGATGTTTTGTGTATATATATATATATATATATATATTATCAACACATTCCGCGGATGTTTTGTGTTATATATATATATATATATATATATATATATATACGTAAGCGGCTATATATATATATATTAGCCATATATATATACGATTTCGTCATATATTTATATATATATATGAACGTAAAATATATATTGATAACAATTAGGTATATATAGTGCAAATTCCAAACTATGGAGTATAGTATTATGAATATAGATATACGCCGCTTTTCCAATATATAACGGGATTTCACTGACAGTGTTAAATATATATATATATATAATCGAAAGTATTCATTCGTGAACGTTCCAGGGAAAATATATATTCGATTGTCGATTCTCAATGATGCAACTTTGATGTAGGATTTAGCACTTGCTAATCTAAATATTGTTATCAACACATTCCGCGGATGTTTTGTTTCTCGTTTCCTAGCAGCGATTTGATATTATATCCGAAATGAAATTTGCATTTTATGTTTATGTATTTCCAGTATTGTACAAAGTTATCCATTACCTGGTCAACCTTGGTTGCAAGTAACATGCCGACATGAAAACGCACACATAGCCACACGAGCATGCTTAAAAATAACGATATAATATTTAGCAACCCGAGAAACTTGCTGGTAGTGGCGTTAAACAAACAAAAAAACAGCAGAAAAATGAAGCCTATCCTGTTTTTCACTTCAGTAACTTGTCCTTGAAATCTCACCCACTGACATTTATGCCCCGAGTCCGGGAAGTATTGCAATGTACATGCACATAAATGTCAGTATGTAATAGGTATTCTATATATGTTGTTACTTCCACAGGAGACGTGTCATACACCTGTAGGTCTTGCTTCCGACGCCTTGGATCCATTAGTGGACTTCGAACTGGCAGCTTCTGACGGCAACGCCAGCAACGTCAGGTTGAATGGGCCGTCGTCGTGGAAGGTGCACAGTCTCAGCAACGAGCCATTTGTACAGGTAAATCACATAATGTTTTAAGTGAATTTTGAAATTATGTCTCATCTTCGGTGAACATTGCATTAATAGAAACATTATTGACACTGGTGGTATTATATGGAAGTGTATTATTGCCACATAAAACACATTAACATCTACGTAGAAGACACTTTCATCTACGTATCCATTTTACGTTTACTTAGAACATACGTCCATCTACGTAATATATATGTTGCTTATACTTACATAATAGACCGCCTCCGTGGTGTAGTGGTTAGAGCGTCCGCCCGGGAGAGCGGAAGGTCGCGGGTTCGATCCCCGACCGCGTCATACCAAAAGACGTTAAAATAAAGTACTTGTTGGTCCCTGCCTGGCGCTCGGCATTAATGGGTACAACAAGGACTGGTCGGCTCGGAGTCAGAATAATGTGTCTGAGTGGGATATTCATGCTTCACTGCGGCATAGTATCTCAGTGGGCTAGCACTATAAAACCAGCTTAAGTCTGGGCTAGTACAAGCAGCCGCACATACACATACACACGCATGCACGTCGTCATATGAGCGAAATATTCTCAAGCACGACGTTAAACCCATTATAATAATTATTATATAATATACTCTACTTAAAGATAAAGGTATCATCTGCAGGTGAAATAACGACTTTGGCAATAATATTTTACAGAGAAATCGCCAACAGTTCCGGGTCTGATAATGACCGATGTTTTCAGTATCACCCGTGATATTTCTTTTTGAGTTACCATCATTACAGGCCATGAAGTAACCCCTCGTTACAAATGTGTCGAAGTTGTGTTTAATGAATATAGTTGGCTGTTGTTGGTTTTATTTTAACGCTAATGGTTTGAAAAAAATATTTTAGAAAAGTGTGAAAATACAGAGATGGTCAGTTGCAAAAAGATGATGAACAGGCTACAAAACATTTAGATATATGATAATACAAATATATATTTGTGTGTCTGAATAACGATATGCACATATAATATCATGCATGGAGATATGAGTATCATTTGATGAAAAGTAAGGAAAGTATTATCTATGTAGATGATGTAAGTATCAACTACGAAGATGTATCTTCTACGTGCTTGATAAAATCTTTTCAGATTGTGGCGCTGACAGGCTTCCATATTTACACGCTACGGCTGTTTGCGACACAGTAGACTTTTCCTGGGATACCAATACCAATCGTTTGTTATAACTGTGGCCATTTTAGAAACAAAAGCAATGATGTATGTTTTACAGTTCATGAAAATCTCCTTTCACAGACAGAATATATACAGTAACAACAATAAAATTAGTAATCATTGTACACAAAAATAGAGGGTTCGGGTGATCCTAGCACAGTCAGCCTTGGTAAGGCTCATCATCAGCTCAGGGCCATTGCCCCCTCTACACGCAGCCCAGACAGCGAATGGGACTTCTCCCAGGAAACGCTGCCGAGTCAAACCCATCAAGAACTTTCCGGAGAGTATGTAGACTCCCTAACACTGCAGCCTTCTGCATTACCCAGAGTGTGAGAAGGGCTGTGCTCTCCTGACCAGGAGGTACCAAACCCATGGCACCGAGAACAGTGGGGAGCCAGTGGGAATGCTTTTCCTGAATCTTGCCAATCACGTTGCTGTCAAAAGAGACAGAAAATTCAATGATATAAATAAATTCATTCAATTTGGCTTTATCAAAAAGGACAAGATCAGGTTTGTTGGCTGAAATTCTTCTGAGACTGTATATGGGCCGATTCCAAAGAGGTTTAAAGCTGTCATTTTCCATGACGCCCTGGACATGTTCAGGGTCGTACCATGGATGGACCTCGAAGTCAAAGCCACAGGCACAGCGAAGGCGGTAGTAGAAGCAACAAGCCATGTCATCAGTAATCGTTAATTATTAGCCATCTAATCCTCGTCACTCGTTACATGTATATAGGAGTTATCTACATGTTGAGACTACGTTAATGTGATAATTTACTTCAAACACTCAGGGGCTGAGGGTAAACGATCGACCCAGTTGTTAAAAGCGACACTCTCCGTTGTGGCTTCCTTTGGTGTGTCACAAACCTATGGTCCATGCTTCAAATCCTTGCACGCTCCGATCCCCTTCTCGGTTCGTCTACATTATGCATATGCTCGTGGATTGCACCAAATTGTCTAAGAACTGCATCACTTGGGAATTTCCTCCCATATTTTGATGATATAGGGCCCGTAAATCGCGAGGCGCTACTTCCGGTTCCAGATTTCCGGTGACAAGCGTATATTCAAGAACCAGTTCTGGTTCAAAATTGCGCGACCGCCAAATACTCTTTACAGCTGTTGACAGTCGTAATAGTTGGCTAATTTGGGGGTGGTTAGATCGGAAATGTGTTATTTCTGCAAGGATCGGTTCCTTACTGTCAACAAACAACCATGAGACCAGTCTGAAAGGTATGAAATGTTGTTTGTCACCGGAAGTACAAACAACGGAAGGTCTCGCGAAGTGCCGTGACCTACTTAGGGGCCCTGTAACTGGAATACTGTTAATACGGTGATTAACAATACTCACCCACGAGTTCAATTGAGTGAGAATGGTTTTACTCCCCTTTAAAAAATAATCCACCAATATCAAGACGGGTTACATCAGAAATGGGCTTCACACTTTGAACCCATGTCGGGAGTCGCACCCGGGTCTTGACGAGCGAGCGCCTTATCCACTAGGCTACCCCACCGCCGAAATTGTACTCGACAAAGTTGACCACCCGCAGTTCATGAGTTCTTTAACCTGTTTTAATGCTTGTATCATTAGCCTGACACGACACGGCCATTTTCCTTATATTGGTTTACTCTCATGCCTTTTTTCAGGTGACACTTTCTAAACCAATGTTGATCACAGGCATCCAGACCCAGGGAGACCCGGATGAAGGTGCCTGGGTGGTGCAGTTCCGGGTCGCCTACAGCAGGGATTGTGAAGCCTACACAAGCGGAGACTCGGTAAGTTATAAACAATTGAGTGAGTGAGTGAGTTTAGTTTTACGCCGCACTCAGCAATATTCCAGCTATATAGCGGCGGTCTGTAAATAATCGAGTCTGGACAAGACAATCCAGTCATCAACAGCATGAGCATCGATCTGCGCAATTGGGAACCGATGACATGTGTCAACCAAGTCGGCGAGCCTGACCACCCGATCCCGTTAGTCGCCTCTTACGACAAGCATGGGCTACTGAAGATCAATATTCTAACCTTCACGTGTAGTTGTAAACAATGTATGAGACTCTCGTGCTTATTAAACCCCCTCTCATGTGTCCAGAAACACGCTGAAACGCCCATAATATGGACGGTACATTTACATTCAAATTCAGTCCGGATTAAAATATCAAAGTTACGACGTTGTTTACGACGTTGTTTGTTTGTTGTTTAACGCCGCACACAGTAGTAATCCAGCTATATGGCGGCGGTCTGAAAATAATCGAGTCTGGACCAGACAATCCAATGATCCACAGCATGAAGATCGATTTACGCAACTGGGATACGATGACATGAGTCAATCGATTCCTACGGTTCCAACGACAAGCATGGGTTGCTGAAGACCAATTCTAACCCTGACCCGGACCTTCACCTGTCCCAACAAACGAAGTCATGTTCATTAACTCAGTATAGACATTGCCCACGGTTTGCGAGTTATCAGTGTCCGGGCTGACGAGATGACTGTATAATGTAGTTTGTTCAGTGTATATGACGGAATCAATGACGTCCCTTATTTTCACAATGAAACATAATATAATAACATCCGCACTTTGTAGATAAATATTTCTAGGAAAAAGTTAAAACCAAACCTTCCAATTATGAAGTTATCTCGAATGGATTATATTACATTTTGGAAGGTACATGTATATCTTAGTCTAAAGTACATGACAAATCTTTAATTGAGAAACAAGTCTTTATAAACCTATCTTTATAACAAGTCTTTATAAACCTATGTTTATAGCAATGATTAAACTGCCAACATCCCTTTATTATTTTGTTGTATTTTTTGTTTCCTTTGTATATTTTCTAATTGGAAGGGCTGGTAGGGTTGCTTAGGGGTTAAAGTCAAGAAATGCACACTTAAGTCTCTAGATCGAGGCTACCTTCTTTATGTTGTGGGCGGATTATCGTTAAAGCATTGTTACATCGGTGACAGTTATTCCAGATCAGATTCTGAAGCTTGTGTGAGTTTGAGATTGTTTTGTTTTGGCTGGTCGAAAGGTAGGAATCTTGAAGACTAGAAATCATGTCTCCCTTTCCTTTCATTTCAACCCAAGGATACTGACAATGAGAAAACATGACGTCAAACATTATTATTTAAAATCCAAATTTAGATCTTAACGTTTGTTTCCTAGACATGAGTCTAATTAAAGTAATTTCGTTAAAACAAGATGAATAAATAAATGACTTCACTAATATAGTTTAATTTCAACAGACTTCGACCAGATGAATTTGTCTTGAAAAAACGTACAAATGAACAACGATTTGGATATTTAACTTCGATCATTTAGATTCTGGTTAATGTTTATTTTTGAAAATCCATTAGATTCCGCGCCAGTCAATTTACTGTTATTTATTGCAAGACACGGGTCTAGTTAAAAGACAATGAACCTGTCTAATCACGATTGATGGTTTAGTCTGGGGCTACCAGTCGCAGTCTCGCAAACCAATCGATAAAACCATTGCATCATGGCAATTGGCTCTTGCCATTAACAATTGTTTTATACAGCAAAACAAGATGTGTTCATTACAGGTACAGCGAAACGCTGTTAGGCAAAAAAGAAAGTTTTTCTCTTTCAGCCCACCCCAAAATACGATAAGTAGGTCATTATGTTTGGGTTTTTTGGAAGGGAAGGGGGTAGGGGCTAACATATTTATGTTTCTTTTAATGATGGTGAATCGATTGTGAAACGCAACCAATTATTCTAGTGGCATAACATACGAGCGCTACCGAGACCGTGCTAGGATCTATGGTGCTACTCGACAAAACGAGAAGAAAATGGTAAGTGTCAAGACCTCCAGCTTCGGATTTGAATCTATAGGCAAATGAGCAACACATGGCTTTTTAGGTCTTAGTAGAGAAATCCGAATGGCTCTGTTTGGAATATGAAGCAGACATTTACAAAAACTGACTCGAAACCAATTACTCGTTAATCAGGTGATAAGGACAGGACTTTGTTCGGAATAACGAGGTTTCTCATTAACGAGGCTGTGATATTGGGCCACATTTCAACAAGTATATACGTAAAACCAAACTCTTTGACTGTGCCCCTGAGACAAAACCAAGTTCGTCAGCTATTACGCTAGGTTTCTGAATTAACCAGTCTAAGAAAATGTCAAATAGGCCCTATTGTTAGCTCTGTCTCCCTCGAGAAAGCATCACCTCGAACTGCCCAACGGCAGCTAATATTAATAACAAGGCTGCAACTATAATAACCTCTAACATTTAACATGGCTTCTATAAACGGCAGGTCCCCGATATGATTAGATTGGGATTTATAGAAATATGTCACATTGAATACAACTCTACGTAAGACGCTCAATCATGACCCACACAGGTGATCTCGTCATCAGTGATGGTGTTTGCTCTACGTCTAATGAACCACGGGCGGGGTATACACTCGGCAAAATACACGTGGTTATTTTCATTAAATTTGCCAGACAGAGAAACAGCGTTAATCTGGTGAGGAAATGTCTCTCACTCACCTAGATGAAACAAATGAGGTCTTTGATTGGTTCTGTCGGACGATGTGCTTCTTTTAACCACCGTTTCTAGGCTGTTCCTTGGAACAAAATGTAAGATGGCGCGTTGTTCAATAAACGTCAAGTAACGCCTGAACACTTCCAATATATTCTTTCGTATGTATGTATGTATGTATGTATGTATGTATGTATGTATGTATGTATGTATGTATGTATGTATGTATGTATGTATGTATGTATGTATGTATGTATGTACGCCTCCGTCTCTCTCTCTCTCTGTGGATCGAAGGGTGAAGACAAATTTATGATTGTCACAGTAAATACACTTCGGCATGTGCAAAGTAAACAGTTGATAATGATTTCTCGAAACAATACTCGAAAATAATCGGCTTGTATAGTCTCGTCTAATGTTTGAAGCCAATGGTGGCATATCTGTTATCTACTAGACTAACACATTACTGTTTCATTTACGAATCACACAATCATTTTCGTCTTAAGGGGGCATTTTAGAAGTTGATATGATGAAGAGGAACATGTTACATTGACAACTTCTCTCTTGCAATAGATGCATAACTTGTTCTTCTTCAACACAATCCTTGCTTCTGTATCTCGGTAGGAACAAGTTACATGGGCTGACAACTTCTCTCTTGCAATAGATGCATAACTTGTTTTTCTTCAACACAATCCTTTGCTTCTGTGTCTCGGTAGGAACAAGTTACATTGGCTGACAACTTCTCTATTGCAATAGATGCATAACTTGTTCTTCTTCAACACAATCCTTGCTTCTGTGTCTCGGTAGGAACAAGTTACATGGGCTGACAACTTCTCTCTTCCAATAGATGCATAACTTGTTCTTTTCAACACAATCCTTGCTTCTGTGTCTCGGTAGGAACAAGTTACATGGGCTGACAACTTCTCTCTTCCATTCCAATAGATGCATAACTTGTTCTTCTTCAACACAATCCTTTCCAATAGCTTCTTGTTCTTCTTCAACACAATCCTTGCTTCTGTGCTTCTGTGTCTCGGTATGTTTAGATGTATATATGCTACTCACACTTTGCTAAGGATCACAAAACATCACAATTTTACTTAAACGTAGATTTATAATTTGAAATTGTATCCATTTTAAATTGGATAAATAATAATATGGTAACCCCTCTTTGGGCCAACAGTCACTTTAATCTAGCCTTATGCACTTGATAGATGAGTAACCACGGAAATTGTTTTCATGGCACCAATCAACCATTTTGCAAATCATGGAACGCGTCATTGACAAGTACACAACACCTGTCAACAACAGGTATGGGATCCACAAGACGAAATGACAAACTGATACCTAGGATCCATGTTTACAATAAGCTTACGTATTTAAACCCAATTTGACCCCACATCATAGTTTTCTGTTGAATCCATGATTTGATCCTTAGCAAAGTGTGAATAGTATATATAATGCTGAACATATTTTGTCCCACATCCGGGACCATGCACTCGTAGTGTCTCACTTTGTATAATACCTTCCTCCATCTGTATCTTCACAGTCGTACTGGGCAAACATCAACAACAGCACAACGTTGACACATTTCTTCCACAACCTGACACTGGCCAAATGTATGCGGATTTTCCCAACCCATTTTGAGGGCCCCTTCTCTGCCCTCCGACTTGAACTGCTCGGCTGTGGTAAGTCTCACTACGATATTATGTCTCAATACTTTATCTTGTTTGTTTGTTTGTTGTTTAACGCCGCACTCAGCAATATCCCAGCCATATGGCGGCGGTCTGTAAATAATCAAATCTGGGCCAGACAATCCAATTATCAACATCATGAGCATCGATATCTACGCAATTGGGAACCGATGACATATGTCAACCAAGTCAGGGAGCCTGACCACCCGATCCCGTTAGTCGCCTCATACGACCAGCATGAAGATCAATCTGGATCTACACGGGTCGCTGAAGCCTCGTTGACTGTGACCAACATCATCAGGATCGATCTACGCAATGGGAATATGATGACATGTGTCAACCAATCACCCCACCCGATCCCGTTAGTCGGCTCTTACGACATGCATGGGCTGCTGATAACCAATTCTAGCCAGGATCTTCACCACTGTTCACGGGTTGATAGTGTTTCTCTCACTTAAAAATGTATTCTTTTGGGGTCGTGATAATTAAATGCTGAGAACAAGCAGATATTACAATTACCAAGGTTGGCTGGGGGAAGCGCCAAGTGGATAAAGATTTTCTCTTCACGCCGATGGTCGAGTTTCGAAACCCTTCATCACACCCACTCGCTCTTTCTGTCATAGCAGTTATCAAGTTTATTTGACTATTTGAAATTTCATTTCCTTCTTTTCACAGATATAGAAGAATGTACAGCTAAGTTAAACGTTTATGCAAGCGAAGTTATACCGCCAGAGATTGGAAACCAGCCTGGCATTCAAATCAAGCTTACTTCAGAAACAATTTTGACGTCACTAGCCGTGACGTATGAAGCACGTGCTCACGAGGAAGTTCAGCTGGATCTAGAGTACAGTCGGTCATGTGTCAACTATACTGCAGTGGTCAACAGCCAGGTCACACAGGTAGGAAAGTTACTGACCTCTGGCCTCTCCAAACGGGCATCTCTATGTTTCAATGAAAATTGCTTGACTGGGCGTCTGTCTATCCTATAGATATAGGATAGACAACCGGTGATCGATGTCTTGTAGGCGATGATTGGACAAATGTAAACATGGTTTTCATTGGTCCTCCGTATCGCATGAAACAAATTGCAGTCTGAGGAAAGTTGTAAAATAACACCAGCAGAGTAATTTGGTACCATTTGTACCACCCAAAACAAACTGTCGAGATTTCAACATGTCATAGCGTTCATTTACATATACATTTGGGAATAAAGGGGATTGCGCACCTGTGACCGGATATGTTACAGATGTGTATCAGTTTATGGCGGCTGTGTAAAATAGCTACAACCTTGCTGGACAGTTGAATCAGTCAAAGTATGGCCTCTTGGCCAGTTTATAACTAGGCATCGTTTGCTATGACTAGACTTTATGTTGTTTTCATTTGATTAAATATATTAGCCGTTCTAACATTTTGCGGGAAAGGGGTCCACTGCGGTCCACTGGAAATGTTTTACTTGCATACTACGGAAACTATTGAATTATCAGCCATGGCCATTTCACCGAGCCATATTGTTTTTCTTTTTCATACGTTTCTACATATATATAATGATTGAGAGAAACTTATAATGAAGTCCATGACCCTAGAGTGAATGACTATGGTTTTACGCCGCTTTTGGCAATAGTTCACTAATATTGCGGTTAGGGACACCAGCAATGGGCTCCACGCATTGGTCCAAGTAGGGAATCGAACCCGGGTCTTCAGCGTGACGAGCGAACACTTTAACCACGAGGCCCCCACCGCCCCCATGACTCTGGATAGTTTTTTTTATATCTTCACTATCTTTACCAACTAACCCGCTGGGAAACAACTACGATCGAAGACTTGCTTCTGTTGTATATTATATCTGAAGAAAGAACTGTACCTCGTTCATAAAAAGTGTACTTATTTCCTTACTTTTTAAATTCTACAAACGTTTTACGTCACTAATTGTCCTTTGGGGTATGATTTATAAATCAGGGATTTTTTCTCCCAATCTGTGAGCAAAATGTCAAACCCTTCAGATTTAGAGAAATATGGGAAGTCAGCGACACTTTTAATATAAATTAATGTTTCAGTTGGCACGTTTTATCTTCATTACGTTTCCCCCATTGTTCCCTTAAGGTATTACTGGAGGAAAAATATACATTTTCCCCCCGATCTCTGTCCCCGCAGCTTTGAAATACATATCCATCAATCATGCAATTCTCATGAGGGTGAATAATTTGGTTAAGTAAAGAACCACATGGAATAATCCGGAATTTCCTCACAAGATGTAACTGCTTTGTAAGTGACTTCAAGTTCAGTTCGACCCATTGTTTCCATATTCAGCAGTTCCACTTGAGTGAGCTTAGCTTTTTTACGCCGCTTTAAGCAACATTCTAGAAATATCACGGCGTGGGACAACAGAAATGGGTTTCATACATCGTACCCATCTAGGGAATCCAACCTTCGGCTTGACGAGTGAACGTTTTTTACCACTAAGCTACCCCACCGCCTCCTGCTTGCAATTACTGTGGTACATAATTGTGTCACAGTCTACGAGGCTCCAGCGACCCGTGAAGATCCGGGTTAGAATTGATCTTCAGTAACCCATGCTTGTCGTAAAAGGCGACTAATGGGATCGGGTGGCCAGGCTCCCTGACTTGGTTGACATATGTCATCGTATCCCAATTGCGTAGATCGACGCTCATGCTGTTGATCACTGGATTGTCTGGTCCAGACTCGATTATTTACAGACCGTCGCCATATAGCTGGAATATTGCTGAGTGCGGCGTTAAACAACAAACTAACCAACTATGTCGTCGATATCAGTCTTTCTCTGATGTTTTCACGAGAGTGGTTGGAAGAGCCTGAGTCACGTGATAGACCAATCGCGCGAGACTTATGTGGGATGAGAGTGTTAGTGCGGCGTTAAACAACTAACCAACCAGCGAGGCTTCAGTGATGGTGTTCTGTACTCGGTGATTGTGGTAATAACGGTATGATAACGGTATATAACGTGTTAATCACAATGTGTCGCAGAGCCTTCCGACTACCTCCCCTTACCAGCAGGTGCGGAAGTACACAAACGTCATGTTGCTCCCGGCTTTTCTGTAAACGCTTCCACGAACGGAAGTACAGCCAGCTGATGTTGTCAATTTCTTAACTCAGTACACGCTTCAATTAATCAAGTGCTGAATGAGTCCCTGTTTGTCAAATGGCACGTTGTGGTGTTCTTTGTTACAATGCGTTTGTTTATTTTTGTGTTTGAACGTTCTGGCGCATGTTTTGATAGCACTGACTTTCCAAAATATATGATATAATAAAACATATTGGACATTTTATTGCGTTCCATCAGCTTGATATTGACACCCACAAAACTATCGTAACTCTTTAGTAATGACAGGGAGTAGAAATTAAAAAGTGCTTTTGGGAAAGTTGCGATTGTTTAGGTTCATTTGATATCGCTGTTCACATAGTTGATATATTTTCTGGTCCTCGTTATTACAATCTGTGATGTTGTGTACAGATAATGTATGTTGTGTATGTTTTTTCTCTATATTTTTTTATCGTTTCGTGATGTCACAGAATCGTAACAGATTCAGCAATAACTGATAGCATCTATGTAGACACCATCCTCGTTTATCAAGTGTATATTGTGATCTATTCTATTATCATAAATTACCTGAAGCCATCCTCAGCAGATCCTCTATTCGGAACCAATATCACCATCTTAGTTTTGGGCCTTCAGCAACCCATGCTTGTCGGAGGAGGCGACTAACGGGATCGGGTGGTCAGGCTCGCTGACTTGGTTGACACATATCATCGTATCCAAATTACGTAGATCGATGCTCATGCTGTTGACCACTGGACTGTCTGGTCCAGACTCGATTATTTACAGACCGGCGTCATATTGCTGGAACATTGCTGAGTGCCTCCTTGATTAATAAACAAAACAAAACAAAAACAAAAACGCTCGTGTCAGGCAGCCATACTTCCAATAGCAATAAGGTTTTGTCAGGAGTCTATCCCATCAGTTAAATGACAACTGTCTGGTCCAGACTCGATTATTTACAGACCGCCTCCATATAACTGGAATATTGCTGAGTGAGGCGTTAAACAACAAACAAAACAACATAGAATTTATCTCCTTCATGAGTGTAAATTGATTAGTCGGCGAATTTTATATCTATGCAATTAAATCGAGCTGTAAACTACACTATTGTAGCGAATAGGTTTCGTTATCGTAATAGAATGGAAAGTTCATTCCATGGATGACCGAGGATGCCTTAGACATTTACCGTTTTCTAGCTCCGGCGATTCCTCCCACCAAAGACCCTGAGAGTGTTGGTCGTGCCAGTCTCCCCTAAAAGTTTGCAGGAGCCCGGCACGTGTGGGGGGCACCATCCTCGTGGGTCGGGTGCAGGTGAGCGGGCAACTACCCCCAGTCCGCCGCTCCTTTGCACGGGCTTAACGTGAGTGAGTGGGGCACGCATGCGCACGGATGCATTTCACCATTACATGCAAGCACGTGCCTTACTGCCTCACAAAAATTACAAAATTATCCAATCCCACACCACCCTCCTTCAATTCCAAGCACCTATTGTATTATTGCAGACATGTATACAAATGACATTTGTGATAATAATTGGCCTTCTCGAAGTATCCTCTTCACTGAAATACCTTTGGACATCTTAAAGGGAGGTTTGCTAGGGTCTGCCCATGCTTTTTGTGTTATGCCCTTGCCTGATGCCCATGGTCATCCAATGGACATACTGATCAGTGTCGTGTCTGAAGCTGAAACATTGTCACCTGTCATTATCATTGAAACCAAATCGTCGGACTCGCCGCTATTCGTTAAGCAGAGTTGCGTCCCCTAGTCACGCCAGAATCCTATGAGTCCCGATGCGTCTCGATTCTGTTTCTAGGTTTGCCAGCGCTTGTGGGTTTCACCATAGGGGTATACGTATGCGACCAGCATCACTGTCGGCTTTCCTACATGCCAACCCGTGAAGGTCGGGGTTATGATGAGCCTTCAGTAACCCGTGCTTGTCGTAAGAGGCAACTAACGGGATTGGGTGGTCAGGCTCGCTGACTTGGTCGACATATGTCATCGGTTCCCAATTGCGCAGATCGATGCTCATGCTGTTGATCACTGGATTGTCTGGTCCAGACTCGATTATTTACAGACCGTCGCCATATAGCTGGAAAAGTGCTGAGTGCGGTGTAAAACTAAACTCACTCACTCACTCCTACACGCCAAGCTGACACGCCGTGATATAACTGTGGCTTTAAACACACTCACTCACTCTGCACTGAACCACATATCTATTGAGCCATATTTGAGTTGGCGGAGGGAAACGTGTTGTTTAAAGAACTCGAAATTTATGGGCATGTTAGTCTGAAGGTGGAACCATGAGCCTCCCAAACCACTCCACCACCCACCTTCCCCCTAGCCTCCCCGATCATCCGTTTGATGACTAGGATCTGTGCTAGTCGTGCATGGCACATGACCAATTGTCGCTGCTCAGGAATTCAGCATCACTGCACTAACATTAATGTTTTGACATGTACAATAGCATCACCATGTTCTCTGTTTAGGGATGTTGTTGCATGTGACATGGTTTAATATGTGCATGTTACTTACATACTCTTGTCTACATTGTGTGATCACCTCCTTCAACAGTGCTAATTGGTAATGTTTCCTTACGTACTCATGCTGGAATGAGTGAATGAGTTGAGTCTAGTACCTCATTTAACGCTATTCAAGTTATGTCGCAGTGTGCCAGTATAATGTTGGAGTAACAATATGACTTAAATTGAACTCACTCCCCCTAACGTTGGAGGAGAGCCATGCAGTTCCCGGGCGTTTACAAGGTCGATGGGGGCCATGCCCACTTCTATAAAGCATACTAGACGAAACTGCAATACGTACGGTTCTTTTTGCCCAAGAGCAGAGAGAAGAGGTTTTTGAAGCTTGAGTTTTTAATTTGAAACTAATACACAGACAATTTTAAGGAGAAGAGGTGTACCCACATCCCAATTTTCAGACACCCGAGCCTAGGTATAATTGTTTGCGTCCATTACATGTCCGTATCTGCCATAACTTTAAAATCTAACATAAACACGGGTGACTCGAAGTTGACAGTGTCCAGTCTGCATGACCATGTTTCTTCGACTTCGACTTAAGCAGGATCTGGTTGGATGACAAAAATTAGCCCCAGAGCTGCCATTAATGGCGTCCTTTTCTTTCAGTTGTACCGAAGCCCGGAGGATGCCCCGCGCCAAGTGTCTGTGATAGCCTTCTACACACCTGTCCGGGCGCAGTGTGTCAGGGTGACACCTGTCGGCCTAACGGTCCTGGAATCCGTCAAACCATACGGATGTGGTAAGAATAGTTTCATTGTCATTCTTTAAACCTTTAAACCACCCGTTGGAATTATTCAGGACGATAACAGAAACGAAATGTTCATACGATAGATACGTCAAAAGTAAGGTCGCGGCGCAAAATGTGTCTCAAAATGTTTTCAATTGGTCCGTATATTCAAATACCCAGTTCAGTTCAATTTTCAACATGTAAATGCTCAGAATCCAGATTCTAGCATCACATTTGTTGTTTTACTATTTTACTTTTCATCACATCAGTTGTTTTACTATTTTACTTTTCAGATGCCACAATAACAGAAGGTAAGCCCGTATTTATATATCCCACTCTCCTTAACCCCACATTCTGCGGAGTCCGATTAATTCCCAACGTACCGGAATTCCTGCAGTATCTCGCTATTTGATGAATTACGGTAAATTGGCCTGTGTAGAACGTGTACGATGTTGTAAATAGGTATATTGCCATAAGCCCAGGATATTTATCTCGATAACACATGGCTTTGTTCCCCGCCATCATAGCCTGAACTAGTGCGCCATTCACCAGAGCACCCTAACACCATGTATATGTACACATACTTTCGTAGCTGAGGTCTCAACCTTGCTTTACGTTCGTGCACTGTGCTAGATTCAGTTCGTTTCCAAACTACAGCAACATCTCAAGAAATGCTTAATTGTAGACATATGGTATAAAGTACTTCAAGGGCAACGCGCCCTTGCTTATTTCATTTGATAATAATGGCAGTCGGATGTCTTCGGAGCTGGAGATTGACAATGTTCCTCTGAAGGACGTCTTCAGTTAAAAACCCTTTCCCATAATCTGACAGCCAACATGCCGATTTGTACTGCTGTAGCAAATTTGGACCTTGCAATGTCTGTGAGTTGAAGTAATGACCTTTTCGGTTTAATTGTTACGAAGAAGCGCAATCAAAACTGGTTTCCCGTAGCCTTGACGAGTGCGCTAGACTGACAGCATGACATGCGGTGGCTTAACGTAGGGAATGTTGATGGGAGACTGTCAGCCGATCATATTACTAATATAGGGACATTAAAGGAATCCTATAAGACCGGGAGCATTCTGTACCGTACATATAATTACATGCTGTTCTTCCTGCAGTGACTGTTAGGAAAACGACCTGTGTAAACCGACAGCTTCGCAAGAGTTTGTATGATCTATTTGCGCGACTTTTGAAAACTTAAGCGTTTTAGAAAAAACAAACTGATTAGGTGTCTCCTTGTGCTTCATACTACAGCCCATTCAGAATCAGTTCGTTGACTCTTTTTCATCTTAATGACTGGTATCTGTAATGAACTGTCAGAGATGTAGGCTTGTGGTGTAAAATACTGACAACACACGGATATTGATAAAAGATGCGGTGAAACAGGAGAAAATGGAAAATGAGGGTGTGCCAAGTTAGATATGTTTTGGCCTTGGTGTTGCTTGAATATTGATAAGCCATATTAAACAGCATGTGTTACTCATTGAATGCTTCATTTCCAAATGCTGTTTGTGTGCTGTACTGGTAAAGCGACCTCGAACCATACGTGTTCACGGTTGTCAAGGAGCGGTAGGTAGACTTGTGGTTAACGCGTTCGCTCGTCACACCGAAGAAACGGGTTCGATTCCCCACATGGACACAATGCTGGAATATTGCTACAAGCGGCAAAACTAAGTTCACTCACTCATTGTTGTCCAATATTATCTATCCCCTGTTAAAGCATATTTTCTAAAACTACGCTCAGTTGCTTAATTTACATTCCATTTTATTCAAAAACATAACTATTTTTTAAGGCATTCAATGGAAGAAAACAAAACATCATTTCACTGCCATGCGTTCTGTTCCGAAAACACTCTGAAAGAAAGCAATAATTCTTTATTGGTTTGGGTTCTTTTGCGAAAAACAATCTGGAATTCTGTAAATCGAGTATACGGTAAAAGGTGAAATAGTCTGATTCAGGTAATGTCTGCAAAACAAGCTGTTGATGTGTTGCTACAAGAGCTGTAAGAACACACACCAAGGCAAAGTCACAGAACGCTGTAGAGCTCGCCAGATGAACCAACGATTTTGTTTTGAATGTGTTGAAGTTAAAGTTTGGCTCTCGTTTAATTACGTTCCCTATGACCGACCACAGAGAGAACTGTGAGTGTTGTGTCTGTACGCCACTAGACAGCAGACTAGACAATTAACCAGATGGTGTATCACCGGTTTCCACATACACCCGCGAAACGTCATGTTGCTTCACAACACACGCAGCCAACATACTCTGTTTACCTTAGTGTGTTTACTCCAGATTTATGATTCATGCTCTGTTTATCGGACACGATGGAACATATATGAGTAGTTAAATATTGTTATATTAAATCAGGTGTATGAATTTTGAATATTGTTTATTCGTGAACGCGACTGCGTTACACATAGGAAAACAAACACAACTAAAGTTTGTATTTGTATGCACGAAGCAGAAAAGAGATGGATTTATAGTGTGTTCTGCACGTCCTATAGCAGGTGGCTCAATAATGCATGTGTACTCCATCACTCGACGTTCCAATTGCTGATGGGTACATGGATAGCCCAGTGGACTATGACGTTTAGAGTTATGAGTGAGTGAGTGAGTTTAGATTTACCCCGCTTTTAACAATATTCCAGCAATATCACAACGGGGACATCAGAAATGGATTCACACACTGTAACCATGGGGAATCGAACCCGGGTTTTCGGCGTTACGAGCGAACACTTTAACCACAAGGCTATCCCAGAGTTGAGTCCTTTATCAGCTTGTCGCAAGTTCGATTTCCGACAACCACCTTCAAACATAATCTGGAATCTGGGATTCGAACTCATGACCATTGGTTTCTGGCACGCCTCACAGACGACTGGGCTACTCGCATGAACATTGAATTAATATTGAATATTGTGATCAGTTTCACTTCTTACTGGTATATACCGCAGGCCTGTATGTTGTATATTTCTGTCACAGGGACATTCGCAGAGTGCGGACGAACGAGGAAGACGTCGGGCATCCGCCGGAAGCGCGTGGTCGGCGGTAACCCTGTGACCCCTGGTGATTGGCCTTGGTTGGTGTCCATGCACTTCCTCAAGTGGCACAACTTCACCAACTCCTCGGGACTTAAACATCTGTGCGGTGCCAGCCTCATCGGACGGGAGTGGATCCTGTCTGCCGCTCACTGTTTTGAGTACGTAGAAACAGAGGCATCTTTCGTCATCGTCACATTCCACGGGCCATTCAGCAGCCTGGTTCCGTGGGTCTGTTGTGCCTGCTCTAACGTGTCGGAGCGTTAGCGCAGGCGCAACAGACCCAGGGAACCAGACTGGCTATTCAGTTGCACCGACCTATTTCGCAGGTTCTTTTGAAGGGGTTGTACATTGTACGGCTTGTTACCGTGCCATTATTTGAGACTCCAGTATGCAGAATTATCTGTGGTTGGTTTTATAGTGGGTGAGTTTAGTTTTATGTCGCTTTCAGCAATATTGCAGCAATATCTTTGCGGGGGCACCAGAAATGGGCTTTTCACATTGTACCCATGTAAGGAATCGAACCCGGGTCTTCCGCGTGACGAGCTACCCCATCGCCCCTGTTGGTTTTGTAAGCTGACACCGATGGTGTGGGGACACTGGTTAAAGCCGTTGTAGCTTCTTTTCTTCTTTTCATTTTCTGTCTATTTGATTTGCTGCAAAATGTTTGTCGATAGATGACAAATGTAGTAAGATATCCCTCTTACTATCTGCAGCCCGCATGTGTTCAGCGGTTTGGATGACCCCGCCAACTGGCGCGTGGCTCTGGGAGAGCATGACCAGAGCTCTGCCGACGGCACAGAACAGCTGATGGAGGTAGAAAGTATCACGAAGCATCCAAACTTTACAAGTAAGTCCACACCATACGATGCCTGAAAATTAAACCTCCTTTTACGGAAAAAAAAATAATTTGAAGATGTCCTGTGCATATACCAAATCTGCCGATGTCGAGTACTATTGTATAGTTTCAACAAGAGCATTTTTCCACATGATTAAAACAGTTTCAGAACATAATAAAAATTAGATATACACACTTACACTTATAAATGATCTTCAGTAACCGATGCTTGTCGTATGAGGCGACTAACGGGATCGGGTGGTCAGACTCGCTGACTTGTTGACACATGTCATCGTATCCAAAATACGTTAATCGATGCTCATGATGTTGAACACTGGATTGTCTGGTCCAGACTCGATTATTTACAGACCGACGTCATATAGCTGGGAAATTGCTGTGTACCTCCTTGATCAATAAACAAAACAAAACAAAACCAAAAACGCTCGTGTCAGGCAGCCATACTTGCAGTAGCAATAAGGTTTTGTCAGGAGTCTATCCCATCAGTTATCTAACAACGTAAATGGTTAACATAGTCACGGGTCGAAATTGTCCTCTGGATTAATGCAATATGGAATACCGATTTTGGCAACAATGGGAAATGAAAAGTAACAGAAGTAGGTCAAGTTATTTAAGAAATAGGCTCCACCTTCTTATATTCCTTCCTAAAAACCCACCCCTACAATGGAACAGGTCGTGATTTTGTACGCCAAACACCGTTAATGTGAGACAGTCTGCGATTTTATATACGGAATGCAAGAGAACATCATTTTAGGCACTCGACAAAGAGCAAGCTCGAGCCCAGTGTGACGAATCTAGCTTTTACCACTAGGCTACTTTGCTCTTTGCGAAAGTGGGGCGACGGGATAGCCTAGAAGCTCGTCACGCCGCAAATCTGGGTTCGATTCCCCAAGTGAATACAATGTATGAAAACCATTTCTGGAGTCCCCCGCCCTGATATTGCTGAAGTATTGCTGAAAGGCGTAAGACCTCACTCACTCAATCACTCACTCACTCACTCTTTGCAAAAGAGCGCTAACAGATGAGTGCTGTATAGAAAACAACGACTATCTGAGTGTAAGAAAACCTACCCCTTTTATGCTGTTACAGTTTCTGGCAATGACCCCATCCTGTTCGACATAGCGCTGTTGAAACTGAAGCGACCGGCAGTGTTGTCAGACTACGTCAACCTCGTGTGCCTCGACAGGATCGGGGACTTCCCCACGGGCTCAAGGTGCATCGTCTCGGGGTGGGGACAGGACACGACAGGTGAGGAGAGGGGTGTTGATTACCCTTGGCACATCCACGTGTTAGTATAATGTGAGAATTTAGAGGGGGACGGCACTCCCGCAAACCGGATGTAGGAGCACTTAAATTATCCATAATTTCAAAAGGAAAATAACACAATAGTACAAAATTCGCCATAAATGAGACGACGTTATGTGAAGATCGTAAAAAAATATGTTCGGATGTTTTTGTATCGCGCACGCAGTAGAATTTCTGATTAAATGGGTCCCTGTATTCGGAATTTCAGAAACGCCGGGAACAAAACTGCCATTTATGACTTTCCTGCCAATCATGGACGCTGATGCATGCCGGGACAAGTACAACGCACTTCCGGAGGATCATATGGCACGAACGGTAGTGCGGGTGGACGACTCGGTGTTTTGTGCAGCAACCGAGACGGGAGGCCAAGATGCATGCTATGTGAGTGGATTTTCATGAAAGTATTTGACAAAATATTAGGCGCACTCACAGACCATTTGCATATTCAATGGATGTAGGGCGTAAATTGATATGTTATACCTCTTCAAAAAAAAACACGGTTAAGGGCTTTTTAGAAGCACATTAAAATGAATAAATGAGTTAAGTTTACATCTTTGGCTTTTCTGCGTTAACCCGCGAAGGTCCAGGTTAGAATTGGTCTTCAGCAACACATGCTTGTCGTAAAAGGCGACAAACGGGATCGGGTGGTCAGACTCGCTGACTTGGTTGACACATGTCATAGTATCACTAATGCGAAGGTCGATGCTCATGCTGTTGATCACTGGATTGATGAGTGCGGCATAAAACAACAAGCACACAAACAAACATTCTGGGTCAGCATCTATCACTTCCTATCTATACCAGTCTGAAAAAACGACTCTTTGGATCGTATGGTCTCTTGGGCATGGGTTATATACAAGCTACAATTATATATTCTTAAAAGAAAACAAGCAAACAAATCGCTACTGATACAGGATGTTTTATGAAATTCGATGTGAACTTGCCAGGTAAACTGGAGATAATTTTACGTTGTTCGAAATTGGGCTTTATGTGAAGTATTTTCTTAAATTCAGAGGTGTTTGTACATCAAATTTATACATTACATTCAATGTAATAATTTATATAAACTCAAACATTAAAGCTTCTTTTAAAGAAGTCAGTGAAATAGAAATCACAGCTGTAAAACATTGTAATCTTTTGATAAATGAATAGTGAATGTTGTGAGGTCTTCTCGGATATCGGCCTCTGAGAAGGTCTAAACAAAGCCAAACCTATCACCTGTGTTGACGTACTAGTATTATATTTTCGACCCGTAAAGATCCGGGGTAGAATAGGTCTTCAGCAACCCATGCTTGCCACAAAAGGCGACTATGCTTGTCGTAAGAGGCGACTAACGGGATCGAATGGTCAGGCTCGCTGACTTTGTTGACACATGTCATCGGTTCTCAATTGCGTAGGTCAATGTTGATGATGTTGATCCCTGGATTGTCAGGTCCAGATTCGATTATTTACACCATATAGCTGGAATATTGCTGAGTGCGGCGTAAAACTAAACTCACTCACTCACTATCATATTATTTTCTGTTTAGGGAGATTCGGGGGGACCGTTCATCTGTGAGAAGGACGACCAATGGTACCAGGTGGGTATAGTCTCCCTCGGCTACATCTGCGGTGACCTTCAATACCCCGGCGTCTACACCAAGGTGGCCCACTACAAAGACTGGATCGAAGACACCATCGCCAACTACAACTACACCAACAACTGAGGACAACGTCATCACTCAGCAGGGACCTTGCGAACGCTATAGCCATATCTGAAACGAAGCTACCAGAAAGGTAGACCAACGACCTCGACTGAGACGCTGGATGATAGGATTTACCTCATAAACTCCGATGATCTGAAGCTGAATCATGAATCATCACCTCACCTTGAATCATCTCGCATCAGCTGTAGATGTATATACCATATACATAATGCCTGGCTGACCTCGGTATAACATCAGTAACTCGTAGCCTGGTGTTCAGCCTGCTGATGCCCATTGGAATTTTCATCGTCATTCTTGCTGTGTCACATAATGCTTTAAGTACAAGCAGCTCGCCACGGCCGCGCATAATTGCCGTTGTGGTCGTTACCGTAATGAAGAGTGGGGAGGGAGTTAACGTTCCCGGACAACGCACCATACCAGAAGGAAGTCCTGGTGAGATGGGGAGAATGGCGGAGGAACTGGGGGGATGATGAACACGATTTGATGGCGTATTAAGATATTTTCCCAATCTACCCTTGGCGTATCTGGTAGACCGTGCCAAAGACAACTGGTATTATCAAGCAGGATTGAGAAGTACAAGAGCCCGTTATATGGAGGTATCTGGATGCTGTTAACGTTGACAATAGCGCAAACGTACAATGCTTTGCTATAGGATACTGAAGAGTGGTTAGATATATAGAACTTGAGAAGAGTTGTGTGTGATGATACGTCTTGATGCAGTGTCTGGTAAGTCGCTTACCAGAGTTACCTCCCCTAGATGCGCCATGATCCTCCGATCGTGCTATAGAATCCTAGCTTCGAACTGATACTGGTCTCGGGTTCTCAGCATCACCAAAGTAGTGAGCGACAGAGCCTCCTTCGGACCTCTAACGTTACGTTCGCACACCGTGATATAACTAAAACACTATTCACAGCCCTGTTGTAACACCGTTACTTCATCCTATAAACCTAGGTTATATACGCTGGTGCTATTATTTAAGCCGCTATGTGTTAAGTGCACGACAGAGAATAGCAGTTGGTATATGAGTGTTGTCGATTGAGGGCACATGTGTATGCAGGATTAATGCACATGAAGTGCCCAGGATGAGGTCGCATCTCCTTTAAACATACCAAACATGCCTGATATACACAACTCAAAAAGTTTAAGAACACTCGATTAGTTTTCATATGACTATGGTTAATATGTCATGTCGAATGAAAAAATGGAGTGTTTTTTTACTTCCTTAGAGTGTCAAGGGTTTTACACTGATGTGGTATCAATCTTGAATCGGATGAATAAAACAAACTGGGAACCGTCTTCGCTGTGACTGGATCGCTAAATTGTAGATCGACATACTATTCAACAATCGATAGGGATTCTGGTATCTGATGGTACCAGCCTGAATTTGTACGTACGCATATGTTTACTGCTCAGCCTGTGTAAGAATCTTTGGTGTGGACATTCAGTGGAATCAAACCATTGCCTTTGAATAGGAAACTCCCCGGCGTGTACAGACTCATGCACGGTCATTTCTTACGTTATGGATTAATATTAAAGGATTATTTGGGTAGGTTTAAATAATAATTTAATATAAATGTGAAACTCTAAATTGGAAAATTGGGTCAAGGGATTTATTCACTATTATGTGATGCGTAACCTTCCACCAGTGCTGGGGCGGTGGGGTAGCCTAATGGTTAAAGCGTTGGCTCGTCACGCCGAAGACACGGGTTCGAATCCCCACATGGGTACAACGTGTGAAGCCTATTTCTGGTGTCCCCCGCCGTGATGTTGCTGGAATATTGCTAAAAGCGGCGTAAAACCAAACTCACTCAGTCAGTCCACCAATGCTGTCGATCGCGTTGAATATGCACGTCCGGGTCGTGTTTCTTTTAAGTTTGTTTAGAGTACTTATGTCTATGTCATTGAAGCTGTAATCGTGTCATGACGTTGGTACATACTCCTCGCAAAACAACTGTTAGCATTCAGTCGTAATCAACCACCATCTGGACGCGTAGTAATGTCCCTACCAAAAGTTGAGCTGTATGTATAATGAGTGTTTGAGGTCATGTTTCGATGGCATCTTAGTGATCTGTTTATGGAGATGAAGGATGCTGAAAATTAGTTTGGACAACTGAGACGTCTGTTGGCAGTGTTATTCTTTAACGGTTCGTGAACAAACGGGACTGGTAATTGATTGTACGTGTGAGGGATGCCTTTCAATTATGACGTCAATGATGACGGAACTAGTAGACACAACACAATCAAGAATGTCAGTCGTGCATAGCGTCAGTATCATATGCCTTGGCAAACCCATTAGAAACACAACCTATTTGGCCGCCATTATGTAACTGGTTTCTTTACTGGGGAAAGCAAACGCTTGAGCCAATCATTCTCTAAGGTGCTGTAGACAGAACCCAGTCCGTGTTTGTGCGTCGCTTAGTATGATGCCCTGTTGTGGAGCTCAACATGCCAAGCCGGATATCGGTAAAATTTGCTTTACGAACAAGGCTCGAATATAGTTAAAACAATTTTGTTTTTTGGAGTAAATTTTGTTTTGACATTTTAGGAAATGACTTGTTTGTTATATTCTGTTAAATATGAATTAGTATGTATGCAGAAGGGAGAAAAATGCACAAATCATGTTTATGTAACATTTGTTTTATGTAATATTTGTTTTATACCATTTTATATTGATGTTGAAATGTATACATATACATATACATGTACTTCTCTTCATGTTGTAAAAAGTTATCATTGGTGAATAAAATCGTTACATAATTTTCTAAAACAGTCGTTTCCTGCAAGAGTTGTGATGTTGCAATACGTTGTGTTTATACACATGGACCCAGAGTTCGAAATAGCCATCCGCCCAAACACACCCGAGACGAGTTAAGCTTGTGCAAAAGTTTAACGTTTCCTGGTCGACGGAGAGGGCCCCGTTCCTCTAAATTCCCACACTTTAACATAGACTTGCGGCAGTCGTAGCGCTACGATCGCTTAGAGGAACGGGGCCCCGGTTAATATTTAAACAATAATATCTCTGGACGTGGCCTTCAGTGACACGGTGATGAGGTTATTGGTGACATTGATGTGGGTCTAATATGTTAAAGGTTAGCAGCTTGTGAAGGTTGCGGATAAGATTTATCAGATGCACCTTTTTTTTTGTTACATCTCATTATTGAATACTTTTAGTCAACGTTGATAGGGCAGGTCGCTTTACAGTGGGGCTGGTAAGTCTTAAACGTTTTCGGCCCAGTGTTCTGGTACAAATGTTTGGGGAATTTCACGTACTGAAAGGAATGTTTAGTAGTAACGGAGGAACGAGTGGAGATGGGAAGTTAGAGGGGAACCTTTGATGAAAGATTTGAGGACCTGAGCAGGTAGCCATCTGGTGATATTGTGGCACAGTGGCTACGTTCGTGATCGTAGCCCGTGAAGATCCGGGTTAGAACTGGTCATCAGCAATCTATAACACAAAGAACTTAATTAAGCACCCCCTGACATATCTCACGATTGAATGAGCCCCGATCTTAACCATTCATGGTTTTATATACGTCTTGAAAACCCATCATTACAAAAATACAAGGGTGCTTAATTAAGTTCTATATATATATATGTTTGGCCTGAGAGGCGACTAACGGGATCGGGTGGTCAGACTCGCCGACTTGTTGGATGCAGGTCATCGTATCTAAATCGCGTAGATCGATGTTCAGTCAGTCACTTGATTGTCTGGTTTAGACGCGATTATTAACATGCCGCTGTTTTACAGCTGTAATATTGCAGCATTTTGTGTTGTTCAGCAAAAAAAAACTCCGAGTGATCTTAATAATAGGAGTAGTAATAGTGAGTGACAAGTAATTATTCTACCATGGAAACCAGCGTGCTTCGTTCACAGTCTAGGGACCACAATTGGATTCGAACCCACGATCAGTCGAACCCGGCACAGCTAAGGGACGCAACACAGGAGTTATATTCTAATATTTCACAATACGCGGGTTACAGAGTTGCTTCGAGAAGTACAGTGCATGTAGCGTGTGAAAGAAATGAAACTAACAGGTCTGAGTGAAGCCAGATTTCCCTTACGTCATTGCAAAATATATATGTGAGAGATGAATTTGCCACGAATTCAAGAGAGAGTGAATTTAATTCAATTTAGTATATTGTAACATGTAGATGAGAACTCTCGAAATATGCGTTATTTTGCGATATCAGTCACTGCATTGTCTGGTCGAAATTCAGTTGTTTACAGGACGCCCCTGTTGGGCTGGAATACTGTACGGCGTTGAAGAGCAAAGAAAAACAAAGCGTCTGAACAATCTAAGTCACTATCCTCTTAGTTGTTTTGCAATAACATTTCAAATGGCATATAACAATAATAATATTTATCGTCTTAATAATGAATAAAAGAGCAAAATTCAGAGACCAGAAAATGTACAAAATCCTCAAACTCGGCTAAAACTACAACAACAAAAATTGCAACACAAAATTCTGAGTATTTATATATGATTATTTCTTCACGTGCTTCTTGAACATTTTATAAGTTTTACAGGAAAACATATTCAAGTTGAGAAATGTGCTTCATACCACAACTATCCTTCGTGATACGTTTTGCAATAAGGGTGTGGAAGTTTGATATTTAATATAAGTCACTGGACTTCCTAGCAGACAATATGTAAACCCGTGAAGATCCGGATTAGAATTGGTCTTCATCAACCCATGCTTGTCGTTAGAGGCGACTAACGGGATTGGGTGGTCAGGCTCGCTGACTTGGTTGACACATGTCATCGGTTCCCAATTGCATAGATTGATGCTCATGATGTTGATCACTGGATTATCTGGTCCAGCCTCGATTATTCACACACCGCCGCCATACAGCGGCGTTAAACAACAAACAAACAAACAAACAACCCAGACAATAATATCAAATTTTGGGATGGATCAATTAGACAATCAGTTGGTGTCCTCATCCTAAGTGTTTCCCTCGGCCAGGTTTGTTTCTATTCTGTGAAACATCTAAATCCTTTGGAGCAGCCGGGGCTAAACTCTAAAACGTTGCCAAAAAGTGACACCTCAGTTCTAAACACAGGGGGCGGTGGAGTAGTCTAGTGGTTAAAGCGTTGGGTCGTCACGCCGACGGTACAACGTGTGAAGCCCATTTCTGGTGTCCCCCGCCGTGATGTTGCTGGAATATTGTTAAAAGCGGCGTAAAGCCAAACTCAGTCAGTCAGTCTAAACACAGAAATGAAACCATTTCTTTCAACAATGCGTGTCATCGAATCGATGTTCATAATGTCAATCACTAGGTTCAGTGCTAAACATCTTGAGTATTGCTCAGTGCGACGTTAAACAACGAAGAAACACTCTCTACACACGGCCGATCGAAGAAGAGGTTGGAAAGAAACTGTTTTGGAAAGAAACCGTGAAGCATCTCTTAAATATTGTTTTTTTTGATGTAATTAATATGTTCTTGTCAATCTGGCGTGACGTTAAACATGTATATGTTACGTCAAACCACATAAGAAAAGCCATGTCTACATCAGATAGGTTAACCGAACCTCCGCATAAGTTTAAGCACTTCACGCCTCAAGCGTGTGATGTTTATACAAAATTTAACTTCTTACTCTTTGACCTACATCTGTGATGCCGGTGTACATAGCTGCAGTCGAGAACGGCAACCCTTCTGTTGAGTTAACGCCGCACTCAGCAGTATTCCTGCTATATAGCGGCGGTCTGTAAATAATTCGAGTCTGACCAGACAATCCAGTGATTGACATTATGAGCATCGATTTACACAGTTTGGATACGATGACTTGCATCACCCATGTCAGCGAGCCTGACCACCCGATCCCGCTGGTCGCCTCTTACGACAAGCATGGCGGGCTGAAAACCATTTCTAACCTTGTTCTTCCATCTGTCAATTATTAAGTGAGTGCGTGAGATGGGTTTAATGTAACTTTGAGTTAAATTATATTGTGTAAAATAATGAAGTATGATTCAGTGTCTGTGTTTTTCATTTTTTTAGAAAAGTTTGGAATCATAATCGAACTAATGAAATCCAGAATCGGCCATGCCAAAGGCAAAATAACTTTGCACAGCGAAGTTTGGCGCTTAAGATCACTACGCTACAGGTGACCTTTGTGGAATGGGTTGTTGTAGTTGTTGTTGTTGTTGTTGTTTTGTGGAATGGGTTGTTGTAGTTGTTGTTGTTCCTTAAAGGTTTTTGTTCATTATAATTCTCTTATAGTATGTCCACATCCTCTCAGATTTTATCTTCCCATTGACGATATACGAGTTCACTTTTCTTATTATAATGTTTGCACCTCCGGGAAACCGTATAACGTTTTTATACTTGAATGGGGAGATTTCGTTCCGCAGTTGCAAACCGATTGGCATCAGGTACGAAGAGACCATAGTGTATTTACAGAATGTGAAAACAGCTAAGTTTGAAATATAACACACCCTTGACCTAGAAACCTTTAGCGCCGGTTGGTCTACAAACATGCGCACCAAATATTCCAGAAGCATTCTCTGGTTTCCTATATAGAGTAAACAAACACGTCTTTAGTGGGGGTCTGTTAGTGACCATAGGCTCCCATTAGACATGTAGGGCGTACAGCAAGAATCATGTTTTACCACGGCCGCGGGGGATCTTAGAATCTCGGGACATGGAACGTTATGACCGAGCTGTTCAGATGCATACTTGAGCCGTTCACAGAATGGAGTATATGTACGTTTAATTTTACAAATTATCACTTGTCCTAATTTAATATTGACAATTATTAGGGGTTTTTTCATAAAATGTTTTAAGCTGTTATGGATTTCCTTCTTTCACTATATCAATGAATTTTTATTATGTACAGAAAATGTATTTTCGCTTTTCTCCATTTTCGGAATTGGTGAGTGAGTGAATTTTACGTAGCTTTTAGCAATATTCCAGCAATATCACGGCGGGGACACTAGAAATGGGCTTCACACACTCGTTGTTCCCATATGGGTGGGGAATCGAACCCGGACCTTCTGCGTGACGAGCAAATGCTTAACCACTAGGCTACCCCACCTCCCTTTTCGGATTTCTGTGGGAGTACGTAACAATAGTAAGATGATTGTAAAACTATTCTATAACCTACGTTTATGGCATGAATTCATTTGGAAAGGACTGACTGAGTTTGGTTTTACGCCGTTTTTAGCAATATTCAAGCAACATCACGGCGGGGAACACCAGAAATGGGCTTCACACATTGTACCCATGTAGGGAATCGAACCCGGTCCTCGGCGTGACGAGTGGTCGCTTTAACCACTAGGCTACCCCACCACCCCGCTGTAAATACATAACAGGAGAAACATCTACGAAATCTACAACAGTAATACGTTTACTACTACTACTAATAATAATAATAATTAAACGTTAATATATATCATTACTATCATATGATTTTTCAACAAGCTATTCACAATATGAAATCTAGATGTTAGCAATAAATGTTTAGGGATTGTTGTTTGCTAACACCATTGCAGCGAGTGAATGCATCGCCATCTACAATTCATGTACAAATCCCTGGTATTTACATGCTGAAAAGACCCCTCCTCACATAAAAAAATATAAATAAACGATGCTGTCACGAACTACATTAAAGCCAAATTCGCTGTTCCAAACTGTTCCCACCCGCTTGAGGGAATATAACATCAACAGAAATAATTTATTGTGCACTGTTTTAAATATTAGTTGATATGCGACATTCTGCAGGCAGTATCTGATGTGAAAGAGCACAATCAGAACGCACCTATAAA